TGTACATTAATATGTTGATTGATTTTGTCTGTAAACGGTGCATTTATGGAGTTCATAATTTGCATGATAAACAAGATAAACAAATGAGGAAGAACGGAGAGGAAAACGTCTAATGTTTTCCTAAAATGGAACATAATCCCGTCAAGAGCTTAAAAGGCTGACCCTAGAACCACACTTCGAACCCCAGAACTGACTGATAGGCTTCGCCGCTTCGCTAACGTGATTTCATGTCGTCGACCTGACGATACCTGCTAACTGACCGGTCTTCTGAGCTGGTGAGTGGACTTTACCACGATTCAGGCTAATCATTTATACAAGAATTACTCGTTAGATCCAATTTTTCTAATTTCCACGCAGCAACGTAATTGTGTGTATGAATATTCTATAAGACGAGAATTGAATTATTTGATGATAATTTCATTAAACACAATTTGTCCCGAATTTCTGCCGTCAAAGATATTTCCTCGTCAAGTCAGTGAGGTTTCTATCAGTTTATACTTCAAGCGGCACCTGTTGGAAAATGCGAGTGCTGCTCGAAATCGGTTGGATCGATATCGCTCTTCGATGGTAAGAGAAAGGCTCGTGTTTCTCGGTTCTGATCTCAGCTAGCTCCATTGCCTGTAAATTTATTCAAACGTGAGATTTCTGGTCTGTATTTTATATTGCTTAAACTTGAAACATTTTTCTCCTACTCTGTACGTATTATAATCTTAATAATTTTTCTATGTATTTTTCAAACTTAATAAAATTTCACTTCAATTGATTCTGTTCCATTGTGCTTAATACTACATTGTATTTTATATTATTTAAGCATGAAGATTGTGACGTTATCCAATTTCATTCTGTGATATATTTCACACTGATTAATATTTACGTTTCAATCTTCTGATTTCATTCAACTTCATTCTACAACTTTGTATTGTATTTCACAGATACATTGAAATAAATCATCTCGTTTCTTATATTTCTTATCGTGAATATATTTAATAATAATATATACGTTTTTACATTATATTCACATATTATTATCTTGTGTATTTCGAATATTTCGAAGATCAAAATTGATAACAACCAAGAAGTTAAATTTCTTAAGTTAAACACTTTCTGTTCTAAAGAAAACTCTCACGTTACTCAAGAACTGAACCCACCAACAACAGAAAATCAATGTAACGGAAAGGGTGCGCGTTATTTCCAAATCGTTAGACCCAATTCTCACGATCCGCCTCGTCACAGTTCACCAATTTTTCGTTGCCTCGGTTGCCTATCGCCGCCCGCGCGATAATAACTCTTCTCGCTCTTCGGAAACTACAAAGTCATAAAAAAGAAATGTTCTCCCTCGATCTTCAGTTGCAAACGAAAGATCTTCGATTTCGAACGTGCCGAGACTCAAAAAGAGTTTCTGAAACCACAGAAAACTTGCGTGGATATTGTCACAGAGGTAATCAGGAAGTGGTTGTGCCTTCGACATCGATTTTTCTCATCCGCGCATTTTATCACGGTTCGTTGCACGCTCTGCTAACGATATAGGCTCGTCGAGTCACGTGCAACTTCATATTATGTAATAACTGGCGAGTTTAGAATCGGTCAGCAAGTTGGACGTGATAATCCGCGAGGGGTGGCCTGAAAGCAGTTTCCGTTCTCCGATATTTTGAAAGTAGTTTAATCAACTCCTTCTCAACGAGTACACACACGTCTGTCTCGTAATATATTTCTCCCCAGCAATTGCTATCGGGTTGGAAGGAAAAGTTTTGCTCATTTATTTAACGGGGAACCGAATTATACGCGAGAGAGAAAGCGTGATGCAATAGCGCGAGCTATAGACGCTAATTAATCGTCCGTTAATTAAATATTCATAATCCTTTGCGCAATAGTTTGCTTTTCGTTTCTTTGGTTCTAGATTTCCGTTTCAGATAGGCAAAAACTAAAACACTGTGCCCTAGAGGAATAATATCATTCGTTTTCACTTTATTTACACTCTCGCGAAGATACCGCACTCGTGCCATAGTAAACTTTTATGTTGCGTTATGTAAAATATATCTTTCATCGCTACTATGTAACAAAAACGCTGTAAAAATATACATTTTAGTAAATTTTGAAAGCAATCTGAGAATTACGTGATACTGCGTGAAAAATTAGTATAGAACAGTGGCTACAGCTGTGCAAGTATGCGAGTACTGAATATCGAGACTTGTCGAGCAATTTTTAATCTTTGTCGCCGCGACAAATGGTATCGATAAAATTCGAGCGAAACGTTCGATGCAAAATAAAATTTTCAATTTTCAAATTTTACGAATTCCAAGCGAAAAAATTCCAACGAGCGTTGAAATACTATCACGGGCCACTGTGACTCGAGGCGTTAGTTGGAGGAGGACAACTTTGTGCTGCCGTAGGTCTCTACGCAGAGGCAGACGTGACGAAGCAAGTCGATCCAAACTCCAGACGTAATTTCGTGCGGCGAACCGCGGCGTAATGTCCCGAGCACCGGCGAATAATCCGATCAGCGAAGTTTCAGCCGGGCCAAACAGCCGGTTTACAGTTTACTTACTCGCCAGGCTTCCGATAAATTCGTTTCGCCGAGGAAACCAGCGAAATGCAAGCTGGCCGCGATAATCGATCGGCCATTTTGCTCGACGGTGCGGAAGCTCGCGATACAACGATTTGACAAACGGTGCTGCAAAAGTAGCTGCCCAAAGTGGTGACATAACCGCTCGGTGGCGATCTGACGTGAGAAGTTCAGACCTATCTATGGTCTGTGTTTCGTGTCCGAAACGAAAGTTCTAACAAGCTCGTGGAATTACGTTGGTTTACACAGTCGAAACACGAACCGCGCCGGTCGTGATTGGGAATTGTGTTGCTTTCACCCGCGAACCGCGCACGTATCTTCCGTTATTAACCGTCCCCTTTTCCTCCACGTGGTCGCTTCAATTTCGCGTATTAATTGTATCGGTCTTTTTCTTCCGGTTTGCCGTGCACGCTTCCTCTCGCGTGATTGCCTTCGATCATTACGTGCCGGTGCGCGTGTCCATTGTAACGTAAAGAGAATGCGCAACGGAGGAAAGTTGAACAACAGAGCCGAAAAAAGAAAAAAAAAAAAAAAGGAAAAAGAAGTAAAAGACCATGATTATTCACGATTTACGCGTAGTGTAAATTTCCTCCACTCTCATCTCACGTGCTTGGGAGTTACGTGTCGATAGAAACCGCGGTTTTTATCGGTCGAAGCTCACACAGTCTGGTCACGCCTAGTCGCGTCAAGTAGATCTGGTCGATGGTGATCAGACAGGTGAAAATCCCGCGCGTTTCTCTCACAGTCAGACGGTAAGGGACATTTATAATTAAGATCGCGGCGTGTCTAGGCGAGTAAAATGGAACCATCGGCGAATCTTAATGATCTAATGGACGCCTCGTTAATCATTCAGCAAGGAAAAAAGAGGGAAAAGGGGGAGGGAGATTAACCGCGCTGACTCAGCCATTAGCTTCCTGAGGAAGGCGTGCAGAATGCCGTCGATTCTTCGTTCCCCGCGGGATAGAACGACGCATTAACCTTCTCCGCACGCTTTCGAACATCCTGCTAAGCCCGTCTAATTCTCCGCTCGTTGCTCGGTTTGTCGACGACGTTGGATACACTCGTTGAGAATCAATCTTGCTTCACGATTCCATCGAGCACCAGTGTCTTCCCCGATGTCGCTGTTTCCTCCTCTTTACGATCGTTTCCAGGCCATTAAAGTTTAAAAGCAAAAAGTAACAAATTACAAGCTTCTCGACCACGCTTCGCGCGATCCTGTCCGCACAGATTTCACGTAATCTTTCCAGTATCGCCGTGTCATCTCCGTAAATGCCAATTACATCGTGCATCGCATTCATAGTCCGCCAATTTTATGGTTCCGTAACGGACTTTTCATCACGTACGCGCACGAGCACGTTTCTACGCGTCGAAGCGGCGCGAGATCGCGCGATTTCGCGGTTTAATTTCCCGTGCGTGCTTCGTCCATCGCAGCGCGCTACCGGCCACGTTGCGCGTAATTACGCTAACGAGATCATCTTTGCGAATCGGACTCGATAATCAGAGGTAATTATTCGCCGGTACGAGGGATTCTCGTTGGACGCACCTCGTTATCGCTGGACGCGGTTTCACCGCAGATCTAGTAACAGTGTTGTATTATAATCGCGAAATTTTATCCGCTGTATATACAGGGTGTTTCGTAACTAATATTTATATGACTTTTTGTCACTATTTTTAGGCGTACAATCAGCTCCCGAAGTGGGTCCCACAAGTTATGAAACATCCTGTATATATAAAAAAAAAAAAAAAAAATAGTTAACCCTTTGCCCTCGACAAACATTTTTGTGTTGCGTGTTGTTAACAGACTGACGAAAGTATTCAAGTGCTTAGATGCGCAGACACGTTCTGTAAATAAATATTATAACGTGTATATACTTGAAGAGTCAATTATCCATTACATTAATAATAAGTTATTAAATATTCAGTGGAATTATAATTAATTTTTACAAGAAGATGCAAATATCCTATTATTGTTAAAACCATCAGTTAGTACTTCGGTATCATTGCTATATGATTATCACGACATAATAACTCGACTGAAGGATTCGGCGAACAGGAGTATGTTTGTATTATACATAAATTTAATAAAAAATAATAACTAGCATTCCGAGTTATCCACACATATAAATTGTTCAATTCGATTTAATGTTTAATTCATTAACGGATATAATACTGGTTTTCGTTACGCAATGACCATTTGAATGATTACGATAACGATCAGAACAATGTATGCAATACCAGATATCGAAGTCAGGATTTAAACGAGCGAAAAAAATTAATTTCTATAGATCACAGATTACTTTCGAATTGCGTCACACCACGACGCCGTACTTTGCAATGAATGCAAAGATCTTCCAAGCGTTGGCAAGAATTCGAATACTTTCGTAAGCCCTAACAGTGTGTGTCCTCGTGGTTGTGACATAATATCAATCAGGGTGTGTTCTCGTTAACAACAAAAATAAGTTTATTGCACCAAGGATTATGTACAGCTCTGGATGTACAGCGCAGACTTACGTTGATCAACCGTGACCGGTCGAGCCAGATTGGCTTCGTGATCGATGAACAGTGGTCCGGTTCGACGGAACAATCCGCAATTTTCCCGCCCATGTGCCGGTCTCGGCGTGCCTCGCGCATTTCGATTTCAAGTGCAGCCTGTCTGACTAACCGCCGAGCTATACGCCCGGATAGTCGATCGATCGATCGAGATGTGATGTAATAAAGCGGGGCATGCACGCGTGCACCGTAGGCAACACGCTTGGGAAATCACGTTGGCCGAATCATGGTAACCACCTTGTGGTTCGCGTTGTGTATCGCGTATCGCGGACCGATACGGAACAACAACGCCGCAAGGAAGTTACCGTGTATTTATAGCGCTAATTTCACGCGTTTTTAAAGCAATCATGTTGAATATAATTCCCGCGGAATGATTGACGTTCGCGTTTCTCGATTTCTATCTGTTTTGTTTACGTACAGGAAATTGAGCAAGGACGGCAATCTCGGATAGACGGTGAAGTTTCAAAACGTAGCGAACGATTTTAGATACAACTTTTTTTCTTTTTTCTTTTTTGTTTGATTTACAACCGAGGAACCTTGACTGTATGTATATCAAGATTGATAAAGGAGTGATATAAAAGTACTTGCTGAAGTGGAACCTGTATATATTTAATGAGAATGTTAGCATGTATTTAAAAAGGCTGTATCTTTTTACTTGTTGTAAAACTGTAGTTTTGTGAAGTAAAATGCGCGTAAATATCTTATTAGAAATCTTCAGGGTTACGAAATGTATCAAATTGTAAAGATTTGTTTACGGTTAAATGGCTCAGTAATTAATCGTTTTCTATTTGAAACTTAATTTTCTTTATCACTCTTGCCACTCTTTTAATAAATTAACGAATGCAACTGCAATAAAAAAGTTTTACAAGACTTTCCTGTCATTGAGCATAATTTTAAATTAAATAAATTGGGGTTCTCCACCGTTGTAAATTTCTGCATTGACGCAACTTGCATAAAACATTAACAATACATATTAGTTTAATACATTACTTTACATAAATACTGCTATGGGGTGCCCGCGAATGTTGCTAGAAACACATTAAGCACCATAAAAATAATTAAAGTATATGATACAAAGTTGGACGTAGAATTCTTGCTTCCTAAATTATTTCTTTCCACGAATTCGTCAATTTCTTGAGAAATTCTTGTCGTTGCCACTTGGTCCATTAATGGCGCAACAGTCACAAATTTCTCAATATTTCACTATCTCCTCCACTCGCCGTTAATAGTAAAAGAACCTGTAGAAAGCTGCAACAGAACGTTAAAAATAATTTTATTCAGCTTCTGAAATTATGTTAAATCACCGCCAATCGACGGCTATAAATCAGCCTCTCTCAAGCCGTATTCACGTTTCGAGATTCACAAAATTTTCAAGCTTATTTTCTCTCTCGCGAGCTCGGTCTATCGAAACAAAAAATTCATCGCTTTCTCTATTCTCGACAACTCTTAACTCAGCGTTACACCAAATCCCTGGAAAATTTCTTCCGAATCTTCTCAAACGTCACTGAATTTTGTTCAACGTGCTTTCAACAAAGCGGTTCATTACACGCGAATTCGATTTTCTTAAATGTACAGAAATCTCATTTCTGAATAATAAAATAAATGTTCCTTTACACGCTGAACTGTGCGCAAGTGTTATGATGGCCGAATCGTGTTTCTCGTAAGATCGTATCTCGCAATTATTTTGCAACGTAACTCTCATTTAGTTACAGTTTATTTTATCAACATTTAAAAGATTCTCCCCTTCTAATTCAAACAATCATTCGATCCTTCTTCTCTCGGAAAACACGATGCGCGTTGCATCTCACGGAACCGGCAGTGTTCAAGAGTCCGCGTGATTTTCGCGAAAGCCTAGTTTCCGCGAATAATCGCCGAGACACCTGACCGCCGGTAATGAGAAGTCAGGCCTGGAACTACTTCAAAGCTGCTAATTACAGGACCCTCGTCACTCAAGTCGCCCCTATCTCATCCACGTCCGATATTCTCTCTCCCTTTGACTGCTAAGTGCTCGCTTTTCTGCCCGTTGGCTTCGACGTTGGCTGGGCCGACTGCCGCGTTGACAATAAAGTTAACCAACGGGGAGAAGTCAGTGGGATCCATTAGGCGCAGCAAGGGGCGCCATGCGTACAACGGTGCTATGCGTAAATTTAGGCTCCCCCCCCCCCCCTTCACACCGGAACAGACACAGAAGAGCTTGCTCGTAATCGAGCAAGGGTCAGTTTTTCATCGCGCAATCCTCTTCCAGCTCCCCGCTGACTTAACTTTGAAAAGATTTAAATATCCAGAACGACGTGCCCGGTGCACCAGGACTCGAGGAATAGCGGAGAAACGACAGAAGTCGTGTCTGTGGTTCAAGTTTAACGATCGCTCGAGTTACGAGGGAACACGTGCATCGAAGAGTCCCTTTCGTTTCCCTTTCGTTTCCCTTTCCCCTAGCAACGTCGTCAATTCTCGGTCATAGGCGTTCAGAGGGCAAAGAGCAATCGATCGAACTTTCACTAGCTGCCGCCTCGCGTTCGTGAAACTGTATCATTAACATCTACTCCGTTGGCCAAAAAGTAATCGTGTCTTTTTTTTTTTTTTTTTTAAATAAATGGACACATACGTATATCTTGAAATGTAACTAACTTCGTTTTCAACCGCAAATTGTTCGAGTTCGCTTCAGAGAAAGAAAATGCACGATTTCGTTAACAATCGTCTGTTTCGTTAAAAAAATGTGGCTACAAACATGTATTTCAATTACTCAAGATTAAAATAAAAGGCGTTTAATTAAAATTTCTCGGTAAAATCAATTTTTATTTGTGTTAAGTAATACGTAATTTATTTAATTATTTTATTTAATATTTTAATGATACATAATATTATCAATTTCTGTAATATTAATTACAGATTAAATCAGAAACTCAAGCTGAACCAAAAAATTTCACTCAAAATCATTCAAAAGTATCCAATCACTGCAGGTACGTATGTTCTCGCGGTGATTTCAATAAACGTCCACTTAACCAAGTAAATATTCGCAAGTAATTGCGTAATTAATTAATAAAAATTAACTGTAATAGCAATAAATCAAAATAGGTAGTTTCTCCTTCGGTGATTGGATTAACTGTTATTACTCATACGACAGCGTATGTGTGTGTGTGTGTGTGTGTAAGTGGCGCAACGATGTATGGAACTATTTGCACACCGATTGAAAGTTCGAACTTTCGTCTCGCTAGTGAACCGCGTGCTCGTAAAAGTGTACTCTTAAAAATTCATGACGAATAAAATAACAAGCCGTTATGATTACTCGAAATTGTGTTACGAGTCTCGTTAGGCGAATAAATTATATGGCTTCATTCGCAACATTGAATCGTGATAAAGGAAACTGCTGAGAGCCTAACGACACGTAATTGCACTTGTTAACGATTATAAATCTTCAAACTGCGTTTGTTACGTGATTTTAACGCTTCCAGAGTTACACTCGACCATTGATAAATGCAAATCGAATTTCTATTCTGAGGAACGAGATTGTTTCTCATAATCGAGAGGTATTCTAGTAGGTTACGTTTCTTTTTCAACATTCATTCGTCCCCTGTGTCAATTTAACACATTTTTCTTATAAAATAATATATTATTTTGTAGTATGTGCGCACAAATACAGAGGTGAGGCTCTATTTTTCTAATATATATTTTTTTATATTTTTGTTCACAAAATATCGCCAAAAATTGTAAATAATATCTGTTTTCAAATCTTCGTGATAGACAGCACATTGCCTTCTAATTATTATATCACAATTATGTATTCAATATGTTCAGTGTCTTTCAAAAATGCGTATAAGCATTTATAATTTCGAACATATTTGTAACAAGTTAGAAACAAACGATCATAACGTTAGACAAAGTCAAAAAAGGTAAGATCACGATACAAAATTGTGGATCTACATATTTGTGTGAATCTTATACACAATTGAATAAACATTTCGCCTACTTACTGTCAATAAAAGAATTTACAAGTTTACTTACTTCCTTTTTTATTATAGATATTAATTTTTCATCGTTGTGTTGATTTGACACCAAGGTACAAATTAAATTGGAAAAATGAGAGACAGATGAGGATCAGAAGACGTTCAGATAAAACAAGACACATATCTCAATTAATTAAAGATCTTTCAAATTAGACAGCCGAATTAGTTAGCCGGATTCAAACAATTTAACAAGATAATTGAAGTTCCGTTATATTTCACAAATATAAATTAAACATAAATTTTGCTAATTCTTGGCTGAAATAGGCGATCGTTAATTGAAGTTACGTCAGAAACTAGCTAGTGGTCAGAACGTTAAACAAGGGAAACCTAAAACCGAGAACTTGACCGTGAGTAGAGAGGCGGAAGGCCATTGACTCTCCAGAATGGAGGCAGAATTTTCAGTATGCCAAAAGCAATGACCTTGTCGTCGACCCCGCTGACCTCGTAACACCTGTTACGCCTCGCGAAATAGTAGCTCAGCCGAGGTTACGCTTAAAACGAGTTTAAGTCACGAGGCCAACGAAATAACTTTCACTGACCCCTCCCGTCACATTGCTCTCCAAGTGAATCCCAAGGACTGGCTCTTCTTCGAGAAAACCGGTATTGCCTTCCTCCTTCTTCCTTCCTTTCTCTTATTCTCTGTCCAACGACGAAGATCGCCAGTGGCGGCCACGATTTCGATAATGAAGGACGAGAGGGAATTTTTATTCGTTCGCGTAACTTTTGCCGGGAGGATCAATCAAAGAGAGAGAGAGAGAGAGAGAGAGAGAGAGAGAGAGAATCCTAGCGACGTAATCCCGGAAGAGGAAATCTACGGCGCTTCCATTTGCACGTGGATTACCTCGTGATGTGATTTATGCGAAAATCGAATCGGTATTTTCTCGCTGTCAGTCGGGGAGATTTTAGGGGTAGCTTGTTTATTTCTCAGATTCGATTCGTGGAGTGGAAAATTTCATTTTTCCTCTTTTTTCTTTTTCAAAGATACTGCACTATTCTGGCAGTTTCAAAAATATCAAATTTTTTTATTTATTAATCTTCTTTGAATTCCAGATGCATATTGCCAACACCGTTTATTAAATTTCTGATAAAGTTATATACATATGTACATGTATACATATACGTAAACACACGATAATAACAAATAGAAAACCAGGACGAATTTATGTTACAACCTCAAACTCTGTCTATATCTCCAGACAACTCGTGATGGTGCACCTTTAGAAAGTTTAAAATTGATGCCAAACCAAGCTTACCTGTATATCGCTACTCTGTGCGTCTCAGCTTCTATGTTGTATTTACAAAATGTTAGTAGAACTTGCTACGTTAAGAAACACTTGCAAATTGGACAAGTGGCAGGTCAACTAATTAGCACCAACTAGCACAAACAATACAAATCGTATTAGTACGTGACTGTGTGACAAACTTGCGAGTTAGTGCCGGAAGAAGAGACTGTTGTTCTTCCATATTTACAAGTCTCGTGTGACTCGAGGAATTTGCATAGGATTGGAGTTGATGCTTCGAAAGCTGAGTATTGCGATCGTCCACGTTCTAACGCAGTGTTCACGTGTTCACGATCACGATCGAGATGGAACGCCTTTCACGAGAACGATCAAGCATCGCAAATCTCTTTCTCTGTTCGATTTTTGAACCTCAGAGAATGTTCAGCGTACGAACGTCCAGTTTCTCAAGATTTCGTTCGTTGTTTAAAAGTCGCCAAGTGAAGTCAAGTCTCGTTACAAAGATTACTTGACTCGAGATTACGAGAAATTGTACTCTTTTTCAAGCTATTTGTATCTGCCTAACGTTTAAACATCTCCTTCCGTTATATTAAATGTCTTAAACTGTTCATTTGCAAAAATCAGAACAAGACTGTAACGCAACAATTGAAAAATTTCTTCTTTAGTCGTGTTTATATAAATAGAAATATAAACAACCGAGTCTAAAGATTACAGTATAGTCATTGCAATTACTGTTATTTTATGAACAACGAAATAGTCAAATTCCTATGAATTGACACAGTCATCGCGTGTCAATAAGTACGAGTGATCGGCATTTTCAGTCGTGATTAGAGTTAATTGTTCATAGTCAAGATCCTCGTACAGCATGTGAACGTGTTGGAGTGAAGAAAGATAGGAGGATAGATTTGGGTGATCCGACGTGTGCGACAACAAATAAATAGCGTTTTATTCACAAGTTAGGTGCACAAATTAGTGCCCGGGGTTAGTTTCACCCCCAAGAAATTACTGCTCGCTGCGGAGAGCTTTTAGGCGGAGGTTTGAATTTTAAGAGCAGACTCGGTGCCATTCATTGCTTCTGCGTCACCAAAGCACTCTCATTTTTTTTTTTTTTTTTCCCCTTCAGAATCCAATCGACGATTTACCTTGGTTGGGTGGCACGAATCCGTAGCCGCTCGCGCCTACTATCACTCCGCTGGAATCCGCGTTATTTGGCGGAGGGCCCGGAGGGAACAGCACTGGACCTGTACGAAAAATCATCAGTCGTCAGAAATTTCGAAATTATTAGAATGTTCGAGAAGTTAGTAGCGAAATGCATTGTGCTTGGTAGAGTTGGAAGCGAATCATTATTATTTCTGGTTAAAAAAAAAAAAGTAGAATTGATATGTCATTTATGTATGTTATATCGTCTAAATGTATCATCTATTTATGATAAATGTATTATCTATTTAAATTTTTTGCTAGGAATTCTTCGAACAGTCTAATAAGAGAAATAATATTCTTACAACTACCTTGCTACTGTACTATTATATTATAATAAAATTATAAAATTATAAAATTATTATTACATTATAATATTAATAATTACGAAATTATTATAAATATTATTATAATATTAAATAATATAATTAAATATTATTATAATATTTAATATTATAATAATATTGTTACAATATTATTACATTATAATATTAATAATTACGAAATTATAATATTAATGTGAAGAATATTCTTGCAATTATTTTTGAAAGTCAGTATATTAAATGAATTGGCACCCGTAAATGTAAAATATTATAAATCAGATGTTTCGTTTAAAAAGTTCACTTTTTTCAGCTCGTTTAGAGAGTTAAATTGTTCAAAGGAAGAATTGGTACAAAATTATTACACGCAGCATGATAACGTATAATTTCTACAATCCACCAACGAGCCTTGCTTCCAACGCAGTTCAATTAACCCCCATTGATTTATCTACCTGCCACATAATTCACGCAATAAACAAAATTGACCAGCGCCCAAAGCCTTAAACGTCATCCATCAAATCGTTCATTAAACACTTTCGACACTCTCCGTTTCCATGTCCATCGACCCAAATCCGTAGGAATTTCAATGAGAAACGACATCCCAGCTCATTTTCTATTCCCACGAGAATGCAGGTGTTTATGAAAAATCATAAACACGCATTAAGTGAGCTCGTTAGTCATCTGTCAATCCGTGGCTGGCGATCATACAAAACACCATTCTCTCGAAATGCCATGTACCAATGAAGTTGCGCGACTGTTTGTTTTTATCAGGATTTGACAAATTATTAATGTCTGACGAAATTTTTGGAAGAGAAAATTTTTGGAAAGAGATAACATTTAACCATTATAAAATTTTCGAAACAAGTTCTAAAATATTTTAGAAACTATTTACACTCAGGTAGTATCGTAGTTATTACAATAATTTACGTCGGATGAAAATTAGTGATAAAATTAAAAATTTCGAATTTAAATTCGCTTATCTCTGAATTATTACGTTTCTGATGCAATCTAATAGTATCAATTAAGGCTTAAGAGTATGTTCTTAAACGAATATAACTATCATTTATCGAAATCGGATAAGTAATCGAAAATTAAATAGCGAGTCCTTTCAAGATTACAGAATTCGTTACGTAATCTGTGGTCCAACCTTCATGGTCACTGATCGCGATCAGGATCAAAAGACTCCTGTAAGTCTTTCTCTTATTTCGCTTCTTGTACAATGTAGTTTTAATTGTTCGATTATGATCAAGGGCAGAAATATGAATCACAGTTTCGTAATATTCACGTACAATGGTTCTCCGTGACCCTTCCGGCGGACAATGACACGACCGGAATTTAAATTATAGTGCATTGTACGCTTCAAGAGCTGTGAAACACTAAAATCTTGATAATCGGATTATCAGCTCCATTATGTGTTACCTACCAACCTGTTGTTACTTATAATCTTTGATATTTTCTCAGAGACAATCTGTCAAGGAAATCCAGCGGGGATCTGCTTGAATAATAATCGGGAAATAATTTGCAACGTAAATGATTATTAATCGATTAACCGACGCTAGTTTCTGTAAATGGACACAAGACGTACTTGATTTTTGCGATGATTTATCGCTCGGCGATAAAACTGTTACGAAATCGGCGATACTTGATGGCGGACACCTGATCAACTGTTCCGGCTAATTGAGAAAGGCGAAACGACCAATCGAGACTCTACTCTTATCTAACTTTCGCTAATGAACTCAGCTCCTTGTCAAGTCCATTCAATTTTTTTTTTTTTTTTTTCTCGTGGTCTATAAATTAGCACCAGTCTCAATGGATATAGCGTAAAACTATGTTACAAGAACTCTGAAAGGAAGGAAGAAAAATTGTTATCTAATAGACGGTCGCAAGAAATCGAGCAGTATCACATGACAACACAACAGCTCACTGTCAGCGATATTTTCCCGCGGCTATTTATTGTAGGTGAGTCTGAACTTGGCACCTATTCCCTGCTTAAACGCGCGGCGTTCCACTCGATCGCAAGGATCGTGATCCTGTATTACGTGTGCATCGATCGGCGCACATAACGACTAGCGCAGGCAAATGTCACAACAGGTCTCATTTACGCGACAAACAACGTTTCGTTCGTCGTCCAATCATAAATTATGAATTCAAGTTGACGAACGTGACACGTGATCCGAGATCGATCGTGATCCATTCGAAGCTTGAAACTCTTGAAAGTTCTGATAAAGATGTGGATCACCTTGGAATCGTCGTGAATATCTTGGAAAATTTTTAAGTATCTCGAAAGTATTGAGAGTTTTAAGTATTCAGTGCTACAAAAGCTTTCCGAGTACTTAAACTCAAATAGCATTAATTATATTGTATTATATTAAATTAAATTATATTATGTAAATATATTTTATATTAAAATACAAAAGAATTTTAAAAAGTTCGCGTTAGGAACGTCTCCGTCATGCTGTTAAAACCGACTTTCGAAACAACTTCAAGACAGTCAAGATAATCGAGACTTTCTCTCAAAATTTCAAAGACTTTCAAGACTTTCATGCTCGAGAAGTGACTCGAATTCTTTGCTCTTATATTGGAAGTGAATCAAAGTGAATCAAAGTTTCGAAAATTGACGAATAAAATGTAAAACGATCAACTTGATGAATTCACGTCGATTTACAGAAGCCAGATAACTGGTTGAAATATATACGACCGCTTTCCTTTTGCTCAAGACATATTATACTAATCACGAGCCGTTACCGGCTCAACTAAGCGTTCGTAAGCCTGTATCGGTACGCTCAACGCGCTGGATATCGATTAAATTATTGCGATTAGTATCCTCTTCCGCCATTGATCGTAATTTCTGTAGTTGGGTACCCCGAACCTTCGTAATTCGAGGATAATCTCGTTTAGTAACAGCGTCGCGCTTCGCTGGAAACACGAGCGGAAATGGAATTAACCGCGAGTTCGTGAATCAATGCCTCGTTCTCACGGTGAAAATTATTTCTCACAAGGAATTTCAGTTGGGATTAGGATCGAGAGTCGTATCGATCAAACGGATCTACCGTATCAGAAGGGTTTCGTGGGATACGGGGATTAGCATACTTGCCCCTGTTCGATCGTGGATCTCGCATTACCGCTGATTGCCTCAGGTAAGGGCCGAATCCTGCGAACAGCTGACTATAATCCTGGGACGAAGCCACTGCCAGGACCATTAAAACCAAAACCACCGGGATTGTCTGAAATGGAAAGATTAACCTGACACTCTCTTCATTTTTCATTTGGATTTTTATATGACTAATAAATATATAACATACGATACCAACATACACAGGTTGAATAGAAAAAAAGGACTCATAGGATAGATACTACTCGCCGAAACATGAAAAAAAGACCTGATAAACATGGGTCGAAAGATTAATAGTTTCAAAGTTATAGGTGATTTTTTTTCTTTAATTAACCAAATAACATCTGATTCCGTTCAAAACCCGCTTCTTTTGAAAAAGAATATTTTTCTGAATTGTATTATAAATTATAATAATATTTAGATCTACCATCTCGACTATTTTTTTTTTTTTTTTTTAATGAAGCATTTGAAATATCGCGAGAAAAGAACTGGGTTTTGATTTTTCATCATCAATTAGTCTTTTATTCCGTAAATCTATTGCAGCTATATATATGATTTTAAAGTTTCTTTTAAAATTTCTTAAAGTTTTCAATTTGTTTGATTATGTAAAATCCACCGCGAAATAATCTCTGTATACTTATAGAGATTTCAACTTTCTCAATTAAAAAAAAGAAGAAAAGAAGGAAAGTAATCGTTAATGTATCAATGACTTATCGATCTTAATCTGTATAATTTCCCATTTTAGTCGAGCACAACCTTCTATTAAATCCACCACTAAGCGTCCATTAAATCAGGTTCGACAGTCTAATTAACGTATCAGGCACCAGCGATGAATTATTACATTTTAGAATGTCTGCTTTCACCAATGTTCGCTCAACGTTCGTGCAAAAAATTGAAAGTCTTCGTCGAAAAGAAAAATTCACCACGCGCACTGTAAATATAGAAATCCTCTCGGCTACAGTTTTAATCGAGTCTCTCGAGATTGACGACGATCAAGGTGGTCTCGATACCAGAAGCTGCGCCTCCATTAACGTCGCCAATTCTATTGACCAACAACCAACTCGAAAGCTTCGTTAAACTGTCTGAAAACGCTCCTAACCGCAGAATGGTAACCTCGACCGGATAACTGACGATCCAAACAAAGTCAGTATATACAATTATCAGACCACCGTGACAATTTTTACGAGCGTTCGTCGGTTTAACAATGCGGTAAAATTTATGGGCCAATAACCAGTGGAATGACAGATTATTTAGAGGCCTTCTATCCAATCGAAAGTCACTTGACTTCCTTTCCACATTCGCCATTTAAGCGAGAGAATGCCTGACCGAAGTGTTACTTGATGAATTTCAGCTGGGATGAAATATGGTAAGAGCAAAAGCGCAATGCGGGGGCACTTTACACCGGCACCGCCCCCATTCGATTTTGATAAATTGCGATCAGTTTGCTTTTAATTGATTCGCCTATCTCGTAGATAACTATTTCTGTTACATGTCACGTAGGTATTTACGGAATCCAGAGGGATAAGAATACCAGAAATAGATCGTGTATGCGGGATATCGTAAATTTATATTTTTGCAGACAAGTCCAATTAAAGGAGCGTTTCACCGTGGAGAATTGATTTTTTCTTGACATTTTCTGAAATTACAGGTTCTTGATACTTGATAGGTGTTTTACTCCTGACACGTTATCTCGAGATTTAATTGAATGATTAACTCTGAATCCGTATATTATCGTATAAATCAGAGTAATAGGGAAATGATTCTCTTTGAAAAACTCTACATTTAAAAACGTCATCACGTTTCTTCAGTATTTGATATTTCTTTCTCGTTCTAATTCACGTTATTATCGTAACATATATAACTAATCTCCATGATTTTTCTCAAATTTAAATAAGTAGAACAAAATCAACATACATTTGATTCAACATACATATTTTATTATTCAAAATCACATTCTTCTTACGTCTTAATAAATCAGTTAATTTAAATCGTCGTGAATATTCCTGAAACACGGACAAAGAAATATGAGTAAAATCGATACGAAAAATCCCTAAGATTGTAAATTCGAAAATAAGCCAAATAATCTAAAACGCTACACAATCTAAAGGGGGCGTGGTAAACTAGAACGTCCCCTTAAAACCTCAGCAAACACACTTCCGCTTTCCTCGACTATGTAACACAAGAGAGCGCGGTTAATTACTCTTTCGACAGAACATTGCGATCTTGCAACAGGTTCCTTTTCCTCGATCGAGGTTCCCGTAAAAAAAAGCCATAAATATTCCCAAGGCGGTTATCACCCGGCGAGGCATCGCATGCTCGAAAGAAATCTTTAAAAGGAAACGCACGCTAGTGTCGTGAACTCCCTGTGAATCGTTGATTCAAAAATGGAAGGAACACATTTTCTCTCTCTTTCTCTGGAAACAAGTGTGAAGAAAGCTGATTTGTATCGTGCGACAACCGATGATTTTCCTCGTCTTTCATCGAGAATCTTCGCTTACGTAAAATCTGATGAAATCGTTACGCGACATTACGGTTCTGCGTATGGAGAGGATGATTCCATCGACGTGGAAAAGCTTGGGAACGTCGAGCTAGCCGTCGAATAATTACCCGCCCAGATTATGACTGATTAAACGAGCGTGAGCGCGTTGATTCCTCAATCGGTTTTCTGTATCGAAAACAAGGTGAACACGTCGCGGACACGTCATCGCCTCGCGATTTCTTTCTTGATGTCTGGCACCAATGTCAAGGTGATTAATTGTTGCTCTGTTATGAGAATTCCGGTTTACGTGAATAATTTTCCGATATATGTATGTATGTTGGATTGATGGGAAAATAATATTCGTCTTTGACGAGTCTTTGACGTATAATATTATTTCATTAAGACGATGTTCTGTGTTATGTAACCTACAATAATTGATTTTTGTCTGAAGTTACAAGTCGATGTATATCGATCACTTTACTAATATTTGTTGCAGCCTCAAGGAAGTGATAAAAACATATATTTAATTCCAGAATCAAATGAAAAGATAGTTTTAATTTGGAATTGGTAAACGACGTGTTAAATTTTTAAATTGCTGTTCTATAAAAGGCATGAAAAATCATTTGTTAATGAAAAAAATCATTTGATTTTAGAGAAAACGAGTCGGAATATTTCTCCTGTTATAATTTTGTTACATCAAAATATTGTGAAATCACGTACTGAATTTTGAAACTTACAAAACTAGCAATAACTTTAACTTAAAAAATTGCAAATTTTGCGTTACTGCAGCAAACGAGCGACACGTTTTCCCACTTATGATTTTAATTTTTACATACAAGAAACATACATTATTTCCGCACTAATCTAGTACTTCAAATTCTAAAGCGAGTTATTGAAAACATAGGTTATATCGAATACTTCAGTCTAACGTAGTCTCACAAGACGTTACGTTGATTTACGTCGAGAATTGCATCACGCCACGTTGGATTTTCTTGTCACAACTTTCAACGGGGTTGATTGAAGCGAAGAGAGAGAGAAAGACAGTTTAATGATATACTCTCATAAGCTGCGAGCCGTTGATTGGCACCAATTCTAATTAGCGATTGCCGTCTGGATGAATACGTTTGCTATAATTATCGCGTCAGAACAAAAAGTGTTGGGAAACATTTGTCAAGTCGTTTCTCAAATACCGACGCAAATCCTCATCCTTCTCACGTAAAAAGTGCAAAATCCTCTGTAATCTAATTTTTTGTGAATACGAAGCAACCTGTATAATTTGAGAACAACAAATAACAACCTCTAGATATAGCAATGATTTTATAATTTTCAATTTTATTCTAAAGAAAGAGCATTTGTTCTAGCTATGAGATAAGATGACAGTCTCTTTGGTTACAAAGAAAAATTGCATATTTTAACTAAGAATGAAATCAGACTCAAAAAGTATTCGTATACATCGGTATGTGAAACTTTACTATATATAATGTGCATACGCTTACACTGTAAAATCTTAAACAAAAATTAACCAAGAAACATCATCGACGGAATACCTGAATTCCACTCTTATCTTTCTGCACGCTCTCCTTCCTTATATAAAATTCATATCCATATATACGTCATATCAAAATGACAAGCTTTTCTTTCTTCTGAGCGTGTAATCTAATTTCTATGATTCTTAAAATTCAAATTAATCAAGTACGTGTAACTAATTGCAAATAAGAATATCATTCGTGAAACGTTTGAATTTTATTTTCAGTTCCCTTCAAATTTATCATTCCATGAAAAGTATACATGAAAAATGTAAAAATATTGTCTCAAAGCGACAAAATTGTACAGATCTCTTTTCTGGCTACGCAATCTAATTTTTACGATTCTTAAAACTCAAATTAGCCAAGTACAAATACGAAGTACAAGTAACCGATTATAAATAAGAACGTCATTGAGGAACGCCTAAATTCTACCCTTATTTTCCTCTAACCTCACTTTTCTCACGTGCAATCTATAAAAACGTCATCTCGAAGCGACCGCTTCACCAGACTTCTTTTCTGGCTGGGTAATCTAATTTTCACGACTTTTGAACAGTCAAATTAACCAAGTATGCTTTCAAGGCAAGAAGAACGACATTGAAGGAACGCCTGAAACGTGGAAGAGAGCGACTTAAAGGAATTTCTCGGTTGGAGAAGTCACGCGCGGTTCGATGGTAGGTACTTACGGAGGCACGAGGTCGCCCACAAACCGCGGCACACATGTTCGCGCACCGTGACGATAGATCACGCCGCAGTGATATCTAAGGCAACGCGCGTCGATGATCACGAGGAGAACAGCACGTATGTACATACGACGTACGACGGCTACTCGAACGAGCTCGGGGACGGTGTAATTTATGCATTTACGTTCGTTGCGAAATAATCGTAAACATATTGCACATTTGTCGGGGTGAAGCGGCGAAATGCGGAGAAAAGTAGCGGAGAACGCGTGCGCCGTATTTTCCACGCGTGAATTAATGGGCGTTTACTTAATGAATCGGCTACCTGAAGGGTGGTATTATTGGTATGTTTTTCAGTGTATACTCCAGAAATATTTTCGTAGGTGTGCTTTGCCCGCATAATCTCGCGATTCGTTTCGCATTTTTCGTA